TGTGTGTGTGTGTGTGTATGTCACATTTTCTTGATCCATTCATCAGTTGTAGGGCATCTGGGTTGTTTCCATAGCTTGGCTGTTGTGAACAGTGCTGCACTAAACATCAGTGTGCAAGTGTCTCTATTGTATTCTACTTACCCACTTTCTTCTTTTTTTGTGGCAGTACAGGAGTTTGAACTTAGGGCTGTGTGCTTACTAGGCAGGTGCTCTACCAATTCAGCCATGACTCCAGCCCTTTTTGCTCTGGTTATTTTGGAGACAGGGTCTTGCTTTTTGCTCAGGCTGGCCTGGACCATGATCTATTTTATGTTTCCTGTTGTAGGTGGGATGATAGGTGGGTGCCACCATGGCCTACTATTGGTTGAGATTGGGTCTCACTAATTTTTATTTTGGCCTGGGCAGATCTCAAATTATAATCCTTCAAATCTCAGCCTCTCAAGTAGTTAGGATTATAGGCATGAACTACCAGTGCCTGACTTATTAATTGTATCCTGGCCCTTACCTCTATCGTTCTAGTGACATATCTCTTGGTCATCACTGTTTCTCTCAATTCCTATTTTCTGTGTAACAACTGTTGGTTACTCCCTATATCTATAACATTTTCTCTTGATTTCTACAACCTAATTTTTTTCTAGTTTTCTTTTAGCTTCCCAGACTGTCCTTTTTCTACCTCGTATGGTAATTTTTTCTTTCCTTTTCCTTTACTGTGAGTAGCCTCCAAAGTTCTGTATTCATCCCTTTGCTCTTCTTTCTTTCACTTGCCTTTCATACTGATTCATATTTTCAGATTTCCAGTCAACACCTCAACACAACTGTCTTCTATTCCTTCAATTCTGACTCAAACACAAATAGTTCCTGCCTATTTCCTAACTACTTACTATCTGAATCTTATTATATCATGTAAATCAGTCCTATCCATTAGTCCATTTATGTCAGTTCTATTGCTATGGATTGAATTGTATCCTCTCTTCCTCAAAAAAGATACATTAATGGAAACTTATTGGGAAGAGTATATTTACAGAAGTAATGAAGTTTTAGTGAGGTTATTAGGGTGGGTCCTAACTCAATGTGATTGGTGTCCTTATAGAAAGGAGAAATTTATGCATAGAGACAGACATGAACACAGAATGCCATGGGAACATGAAGGCAGAGATTTGGGTGATGCAACTATATGTGAAAGAATGCCAAAGACTGCTAGCAAACAATCAGAAGTTAGGGGAGCGGTATAGAATAGATGCTCTCTTACAGCCCTCAAAAGGAGTCAACCTGCTGATACCTTGATCTTGTTCACCTATATCTTGTTAGATAATAAGATCTGCTGCTTAGGCCACCCAGTTTATGATACTTTGTTATAGCAGCTCCAGTGAACAACCATCAATCCCCCAATCTTCCAGACTAGAAAATAGACTAATTCTTTATCATCTATATCCAATCTCACACTAGAGACTTTATTCATGTAAAAATGACTTGTAGCATCTTTAATCTCATACTCTTCATTGCCTCTTTTTCTTCCACCATTTTTCTTAGTTCCTATTTCCATCCAACCTTCATCATTTCTCATCTTTGTTCCTATGAAAGCATCTGGCTGGTATCTCTTATTCCAAAATTATTTCCTAAAATGTGTAATTCATGTTCTTTCATCATGTTAGTGCTATGGTCAAGATGTACTTATAGTGCCATACTGCCTACTATATTAAATCTAAACTTGGCATTCATGGTCCCACAGAATTTGGACCAATCTTGATCACTCAATCACTTATTCCCCTATACATCATGCTTATTTCCACCTTAGACTTGCTCCTTCTATCCTTCCCCCATCAAGATGCTTTTTAACCTTTCCACCTTTTATCCAAATCCATTCACCTTTCAAGACCCCAACTCTTCTGGCCCACACTTACTTCTCTTCCTGCATTCTAATTAGTGCTTTCTGGGCTCCCACCAAGTGGTGTTTCATACATTTTATGTGGATTTACACATATTTGCATCCATATTTCCAACAATTTACAGGACACAGTGGTTGTTAATTAATTGTTAAACTCTTAAAGTGAGAATAATTGGGAGATGAAGGATAGGGGAAGACGAAGGAGATCGGGCACCAAGGGAAGTGAAAACTTTGGTTAGAACAATGGAGAATTAAGCAAAGTAAGTTCTTTCTCAAATGTGCATCCTGGACCATAGGTATCTAAATAATTTAGGATGCCTGGAAAAAATGCAGATTCCTAAACACCATTAAAACCTACTAGATCAGATTCTGTAGCCTATAACTCTAATTTCTTTCTTTCTTCTCTCTCTCTCTCTCTCCTCCTGTCTTTTGTGCAAGGTATCAACTCTTTTTTATAGTGCAACTGGAGCTACAGACTTGCAAAGCAGGTGCTCTACCTCTTAGCCACACCTCTAGCCCTAGGTGTACCAATTCTGAGAACCACTAAATGAAGAAGGCAGAAGAGAGATGCTGAAAGGGAACACAGCTGTTCTTATGCTCACTGGGTACTTTCTGTTACGATTAATAATAGAAGGAAACATTTTACAATATCATGATTTATTTTGATGTGATTCTCTCTCTCCAACACACTGCTTCAAGTACAGCAGTCCTTTCTTCCATGGCAAGGGGATTTCAAGTACTGTATCATAAATATAGGCTGACTAATATAGAGTCTCTGGAAGAAGAGAAATTTTGTGGCACTCAAAAGAAAGGTAATTGTTATATTTTCTTTGGGAAGTAAAATATAACCAGGGATACACTGTAGGTTCCTAGAATTCAAGTTTGGTAGCATATAGAGAGAAAACAGAAACAACTCTGAGATCTAGTTGCTTAAGTTTTTAACTGTAACTAAGTGATAGTTAAAACATAGCTGATTTAGATAAAAACTGAGGACCCTCACATTGGCTCACACTGAGCAGGATTTCTGCAGTTAAGTACTACAGAAGTGAAACAACAGAATTAGATACGATCGAGGAGAAGAAAAATGCACAAAAGTCCTTGAATTAAAACGAATTGAAACCTTCTGGGAGAAAAGCTATTTGGTAAGCTCCATTAAGTCTATTGTAGATAGCTTTATTTGACAAAGCAGCATCCTGGCATGTGGAGCAGGAAAGAAAATAGCTATAAGATGATCTGTCAGGGAGTTTCCAGTCTCTAAACGAATAAGATTCTGTGCAGTAGCCAATATAGCTTTTAACTCAAAAGAGATACAGAAGCAAAATGCAATTATATCACCCTAGTAAGTGCATTCAATCAGAATCTCCCACACACCCCTCTCCTCCCCCAATAACTCCTCAAACTCCACAATTTATCAAGTGGATGCTCAAACTTTACGGTTGCTTTTATTTCATTGTAGCACCGTATTACAATGTTGTAGATACTGAGGTGAAGGTAATCCTACAAGTCAAAGATTAATCAGATAAAAAACATCCTAAGTAAGCATTTAAATAATTTGAATAGTTCAATTATTGTTAGTCTTTTGCTCATTTCGGCTATAAGTTTATGGTATTCATGAGCAATAATTAGTTCACTGTTCTGAAAGTGCTAACTAACCACTGATTACAAAGAATTTATTTAGTATAGATAGAACTTTGTATGTTTAGGGATGTAACATGTGGTTAAAATAGAGACAATTCAGATGTAATAGCTAATGACTGCCTTTTTAAAAGTCTGACTTAATATTTTTCTTTCCTTAAGTGTTTCTACTTATGGAGTAAAGATTCTAAGACAACTCAAGTGGGTATAGAGCTTCTGATTTCAATATACAAATACTGGAACTGGGAAATTCAGATTCGAATTTTAATGTATCAGCATCTCCCCCACCCCTACATGACAGGAACAGTAAAGCATTACATCTCCAATGTCTACTACAGTGGTTGGCATGTAACAGTTGTGAATGGATGAATTCATTTAACCACCATAAAATCCCTGTTACATGGTTTTACAATGTACTGATTACAATGTGGAAGCTAGAACTCAGTGGGGAAGAATCTCAAGAAGGACAGAGCTGGGACTAGAATTCAGATGTTCTAAGTTTAGGTTCAGTCATTTTTCCATTGAACTTTAGTATAAAATAACTCTTAATATTGTCTGGAAAGGTTCACCTGAAAAGACTGACTGGTCTGCTGGCTGGTATTTTATTTTCCCCCATGGTAGTATTCCATTCAATTGAACGGTAAGATGTTGGTCTCTTGTTCAAAAAGCACCACTGAGGATCCACATCATGGCCTCTGTCTCATGTTCCTGACTATATTGGATTGTAACAAAAGCCTTCACCTAGACAACTGTGTGTGGAATCTTGTTGAGTTCCCAATATACCCCCAAGTAACTATAATGGTTATATGTTACAGATATTCTGCCTTAGTTAATAGATTTTAACTTTGTGACTTATTTTATGGAAATATTTAATTTTTATGCAGATTCATTTGTCAAAATATTTAATTTATATGTTTGGTGACTTTGCCCCAAATTATATAGCCAACTTCTGTATTTTTAAAAATTTCTTTTCTTAACAAGTTCTGCCTGGAAGCGAGGGTGGGGGAGAGGGTAGGGGCGGGGGACAGGGGGGAGAAATGACCCAAACAATGTACACACGTGAATAAATGAATAAAAAATTTCTTTTCTTAACATCTAACTTTTATATTCATTTGTTATTACCTTGTGTGATTATTTAATATATAAGTGATCTTGTTCATGCATGTGCTCTCCCAGTTTTTGTTGTAGAACATATTAACACATCCAAATCAAATATGGAACAGTGTGGCCTAAATGTCCATTATTTCTTGGAAAAGAAGCACTTTTACTTAGGTACTTCAGTGGTAGATGAGGATAAATGAAGACCACAGAAAATCTTATAGAAACAGGTTTTAATATTCAATGTGTACTTAGCCCCATCAATTATTTCTAGCTGATTTCCAGTCTGATGGACTGATGCTTACTTTGTGTTAAAAGTTTGAAAATACTGCCCCAAGCAAATAGATATTTGTTATATAATACAAAGCAGAATTATCTTTACCTGATTCCTCAGTTTCTTTCGTTTCTGTTGTTTCTTCTATTTCATCATCAGACATTTCCATTTCTTCTTCTCGCCTGATTCCCATTAATTCATCATTATGAATGTTGCGAATTTCCTAAGGTTAAAAGGTATGTGTTTTAGGTGGAAAACCTTGAGAATGTTGAGAAAATGAGCAGAGATAAAGTAGAGATAAGATAAAGCAGCTTTTTGAGGAAATATTAAAAGCTGTCAGAGTACTCTTAAGGCAAAGGTAAAGTAGCATATTGAGACTAACTAGTGTCACTAAAAAAGCCTACTTGGGTACACCTCTTTCTTTCTTGTATTGAGCTTTCTTTCCAGACCCAGAGCTCTGACAGTCTGATTCTTATATCCCTCCCACATTAGAAAGTACTTTCTAATAACCATAAAAGACTCCTCACCTCTTATTCCTGTGGATTTCTGGATTTTCCCTTAAGGGTTTCTTCATTTTTACCTTCCCATGTTGGGCCCTTTAAATTTGCTGTTTGATATTTCCTTTCCTCTAATAGTTTTATTCAATAGAACTCTTAATCCAGATTTTGCAGTTTTAGAAGTTATAGAAAAAGTGAGCTGTCAGGAGTAAACTCCTACCAGACCAACTCTCTCATGGGCAATAACTACAATCTTTGGAGAAAACACAAAACATACAAAACCCATAACAACTTGATATCATTGGAGAGTGAAAAAAAAGCAGGCATATTCTGAAGAGGAGCAGATACTTAGAGGAAGGAGAAAGCATAAGGTCAAGTCTCTCAGTATTTAAAGGGCCTTTTAGTTTGAGAGTAGACCAGAGTTAACTACTTGTAGGATTGCTAAATTTCTCATAGAAAATCCAGTCTTTGTGGCCTAAATAACAACAGCGGAGAGTTGAAGGTAACCACAGACTCTGGAAAATAAGGAGGGATCCCAGAAAGGAGAAAACAGGAAGATAGAAAGACAGTGAGAGGGAATGGAGGGCGGGAGGGAGGGAGGGAGAGAGAGAGACTGACAGAGAGAGAGAGAGAGAGAGAGAGAGAGAGAGAGAGAGAGAGAGAGAGAATATGAACTTCTCATTCAGCATATAAAATTTGTTCAAATTTCTGTGGCCCTTGGGCCATGAAAGCATAAGAAAGATTCTAAACAGTACCTCTAAGGCTGAAAGAGCTAAGTTGTTATTTGAGCTGCCATCCAAGAGATAGACTTTTTAACTTGAATACAAACCAATTAAATTGACCATTTAAACAAAAAGAAAACAGAGCCAGCATTTTTGGAGGAACGTAACAGAAACCACAGTCTGCACAATATAATATTCATAATGTCCTGGATAATGTCCAAAAACTAGGATGAGATGGCCCCATTTGCAAGAGAAAAGATAATCAACACAGACCAACCTGGAAATGATCCAGGTGAGGTAATCAGCAAAGAATTAAAGTAGCTACTATAACTTTGCTTATGATGTAAAGGAAATAGTCTCACCATGACTAAAAAGATATGAAATCTCAGCAGAAGGTTAGAGATTTTGAAAATGAACCAAGGATCCTTTCATCTGAAAATAAAAGAGGCCTAGAGTTCTTCTGTCTGGAAACAAAACAACAACAAAAAAACAAGCATAAAAAGAGTTGTTTTAAAAAGTTTGTCTTCCTCTGCTGAGTTCCTACCTTTTCATTCATTATAAGCATATTCTCTTTACATCATTGAACATAGATATACTAGTTGCTTTAACTACGTATCTGTTAATTATCACATCTGGGTAATTCTAAAACTGAAAAATATTGTATCTGAAATATAAGTAAGATAAACTGAAGAGTAGAATAGAGATGAAAGGATAAAGAGAGAACTTAAAGAAAGAATAATAGAAACGCATTCAATTTGAAGATCAGGAGAAAGATATATATTTTAAAAATAATAGTGCCTCAGGTAGTGGTGGGGATGATTTCAAATATCTCAACCTACATGTAATGAAATTTCAGAAAGAGAGAGAAAATGATTTTAAGATATTTGAAGAAACATGGTTGACAATTTTTTTGATTTGATGAAGAGAATCAATGAACATATTTAAAGAATTCAGTGAACTCCAAACAGGATATGTGTGAAAAAAGCATATGTGTGAAAAAAACCTTCATAGTCAAACTGAAGAAAGAAAGCTCAAGAAAAAGAGAACCTTTGGGAAGCAGCCAGAGGAAAACATCACATTATGTAGAGGGGCACAACAATTTGGCCCTTTGATTTCTTTCAGAAATAATAAAGGCCAAGGGCCAATGGGACAATATCTTTAAAGTTCAAGAAGTAACACAACTATCCATTTATTCAGAACTCTATATTCAGAGAAAATTCAGAGACTGAAGATGAAATACATTTTCAGGCAAAAGTAAAATGTAAGAATTCATCATCAAAAGATTTGTACTATAGGAAATGCTGAAGAAAGTTTTTCAAACTGAAGGGAAGTATTATCAAATCTTTAGCAAGATTAGTATTACCAGATCTTTAGGAAGGCATGAAGAACGTTGGAAATGATCAAAAAATCACATCAGAAAAGTCACTTTAAAAAGTAAGCATGAAATAGAGGGAGGTAAACATTATCAAATTATATTATTTGCATGTGTGAAAATATCAAAAGTAAACTCACCACACTGTACAATTAATAAACATTAATAAAAATATGAAAAAGCTGATTTGATTTTAAAAGTTAGAAACAAACAAACACAAAGTATGCATGAGAACTACGCATTTTAGAGCAGCTTGCAATCATCTGGAGACTACTTGATGCCTGACAGTCTCCTCAGCACTAAGCTGAGAGCTCCTTGTCTAGGTTTGCTCCTACTGGGTTGTCAAATGGGAAATACACAAAGCCGTCTGGTGAAAATTGCTTCAATTTATGGTGATACTACATATTTCAAATTGATTTTTTAATAATTAATGCTGGAGTCACTATCCCAACTAATTTCCTCCCTTTTTATTCCTTTTATCAGCAAAAATAATGATTTCTATTTCAAGTTAAGTTTTCATTAAAAATAAATGAAAGACCCTTTATAAAGTGAGCTATTCAGTATCATCATTGATTGTTAAGAAGTAAGGGAAAAATCAGATGCTAACATAGCATCTCCCATGTATTGTAGGACATTACTTAAAATAGAAGAAAATAATGACCTGCTTGAGAAAAATGAACTTTAAAGGGCTGCATCATGAGGGAGATTTACTATATCTTATTCAAACTCATTATACAGAGAACAATAAAGGAATTTCTCATTTCTGTGAACTCATTCTATCTCAGAAGACAGGGTTTCAGTTATAATCAGGGCCATTACTAGAAAGGTGATTATAACAAGGTTTGACATTGGCAAATTTGAATATTGTTCAATTTAATGCATCAGGAAAAGTCATAGCTTTCTAGATACCTAACAAAAATGTAGACTGCAGAAGGTATAAGCAGAGACCAAGTTTCAACTCACGCACATATCACTAACCCTGGCAAAGTTAATGTATTTCTCAGGAGAGTAAATGTTGTTCCTTCTAGGGAATATCCCAGGGTAGGAAGATCTGAGAGCTAAGACATGTCCCACAAAGCATTTTTCTGCTTCTGGCTGGGCAAAGAAAGTGTAATCTCTTCTTAGAAATATAAAAAGTTCAATAGCTACCTGATGTAGAATATCTAGAGGTCTTTTACAACTTCAAAAGTCCCTAGAAATATAGAAGATTTGAGGGCATATTTTACCTATATACCTCAAAATACTTCAGGAATGTGAATTACCAGTTACTTTAGCTGATAATGAAACAAGGGTGAGAAAAATAAGGGAAGCTTGCTCTGTATTGTTCAGTTAGGGAAATGGCAGAGTTCAGAACCCTCTAGTGACTAGACATCCTTTTTAACTATGAAGAAACTAAGGCTTATATCATTATTCTTCTATAAATACCCAATACTAGGTCACACAAGTTGGATAAAAGCAAAGAGAATAGCAGAGGTTATACTAAACTAAATTTATAGGGAGCATTTAGTAAATGACAGTACCTCTAAGAAAAGTGAGATTTTAATTCTTTGAAAACTAGCATTAAAACATTTATAGCTGAGATATGCATTCTCTGATTAGATCAGGAAAGCTCTACTTTGAGAAACAAACCCTAACAAATACCATCAGAAAGGAAGGCTGTAAGATGGCATGTACCTGAAAAAAGTACTTTACTTATCTTGGATGTAAGTGCAGGCAAGGGGAGAATTTTGAGCTACTGATTTGCCTCATTCCCCACCTTGACATTTGAATGCCTGCTGAAAGCCAAAGAGTGGCAAGGCATGCAAAAACATTTTCAGAAATTTGCCTTTGGAAATACATACCTGAAATATACTGAATCATGTCACCGATTGACTACATTAAAAAAAGGTAAGAAAGCCCTGCTAAAGTTTCTATGCCATTCTTCTGCCCAACGTAGATCTTTGTTATCTCTTATTTCAATAGCGAACTATTAGTGATTTTTGAAGTGCCCTTACAATGACTGTAAGACTGTTCTAATGGTAACTTTTTCTGAAGGTTAGAATTCGCACATTTCCACAATGGAGAAAAAAAGCACTTTTGTATACAATGAAATTGAAACCCCAAGCAGAGGGAAATGCATGGGAAGAATCACTTTTGTACCAATTGACATTTTTGATTCATTATAAAGTAAGCAAATCATAAATCATCACACATTAGTCAATTATAGTTTAACAAAAATTTTTATGGATTTAAATTCATCTTATTTATGTTTTATGATAGTAACATGATTACCAGAAATGTGTAACAACATTCTTTTTTTAAAATTTTTTTATTCATATGTGCATACAATGTCCCCCTTACCCCCACCCTCTCCCTTACACCCCTTACCCCTTACTACCCGGCAGAAACTATTTTGCCCTTATTTCTAATTTTGTTGAAGAGAGAGCATAAGCAATAATAGGAAGGACCAAGGGTTTTTGCTAGTTGAGATAAGGATGGCTATACAGGGAGTTGACTCACATTAATTTCCTGTGCGTGTGTGTTACCTTCTAGGTTAATTCTTCTTGATCTCACCTTTTCTCTAGTTCCTGGTCCCCTTTTCCTATTGGCCTCAGCTGCTTTTAAGGTATCTGCTTTAGTTTCTCTGCGTTAA